GACTGTGAAGGGTTAAATTATACCGAATTTATCCCAAAATTCACCAAAATCACCAAAATCCCCAAAAAAATCCATCCTGAAACACCCAAATCCCAAAAAATCCCATCCCAAAATGACCAAAATCCAAAAAAATCCTCCAAAAATCACCAAAATCCCCCAAAATTCCCCAAAAATCCCCCAAAATTCCCCCAAAAAATCCCCAAAATCCCAGAATTCTGATCCCAAAAATCCCAAAAAATCCCCAAAAAATCCAAAAAAATCCCAAAATCCCAAATATCCATAAAACTCCAAAAAAATTCCATCCTGAAAACCCCAAATCCCAAAATCCCATCCCAAAATCCGCCCAGGGCTCGGCACAGCCCCACCTGCACGGCTGTCAGCGAGGCCACGGACTGCAAAGGGTTAAATTATACTGAATTTATCCCAAAATTCACCAAAATCACCAAAATCCCCAAAAAATCCATCCTGAAACACCCAAATCCCAAAAAATCCCATCCCAAAATGACCAAAATCCAAAAAAATCCATAAAAAATCCCAAAAAATCCCCCAAAATTTCCTAAATTCCGATCCCAAAAATCCCCAAAAAATCCCCAAACAATCCCAAAAAATCCCAAAAAAATCACAAAAAATCCCAAAATCCCAAAAAATTCCATCCTGAAATCCGAAAATCCCCAAAAATCCCATCCCAAAATGACGGCCACGGACTGCAAAGGGTTAAATTATACTGAATTTATCCCAAAATTCACCAAAATCCCCAAAAAATCCATCCTGAAACCCCCAAATCCCAAAAAATCCCATCCCAAAATGACCAAAATCCACAAAAATCCATAAAAAATCCCAAAAAATCCTCCAAAATTCCCCCAAAAAATCCCCAAAATCCCAGAATTCTGATCCCAAAAATCCCAAAAAATCCCAAAAAAATCCAAAAAATCCCAAAATCACAAATATCCACAAAAATCCCCAAAAATTCCATCCTGAAACACCTAAATCCCAAAAAATGCCATCCCAAAATGACCAAAATCCACAAAAATCCATAAAAAATCCCCAAAAATCCCCCAAAATTTCCTAAATTCCGATCCAAAAAATCCCAAAATATCCCCAAAAAATCCAAAAAAATCCCAAAATCCCAAAAAATCCCAAAATCCAAAAAAAATCCATCCAGAAATCCAAAAATCCCCAAAAATCCCATCCCAAAATGACCAAAATCCACAAAAAACCCCAAAAATCCCAAAATCCCAACCCAAAAATCCCCCAAAATTCCCCAAAATCCCAGAATTTCTACCCTGAAATCCCCAAAAACCCCAAAAATTCCTGAATTTTTACCCCAAAATCCCAAAAAATCCCAAAGAATCCCCAAAAAATCCAAATTCCCACCCCAAAATCCCCCAAAATTCCCCAAAAATCCCATCCTAAAAATCAAAAAAAAAACATTTTCCCATTTTTGGGATTTTTTTTTTGGAATTTTCAGATCGGATTTTTGGGATTTTGGGGATTTTTGGGAATTTTCAAGTGAATTTTTTTGGGTTTTTGGGGATTTTCAGGTGAAATTTTTGGGATTTT